TACCCAAGGGGATATAAAATACCAAATTTTGTCCTTTTTTATGAGAATGGAAACCAGTTAACCATTGAACACATTGCCAAATTTACAGCCTAGTGTGGTGAGTTTACCAATAATGATTATATGAAAGTACGACTTTTTCCAAATTCTCTAACTGTGGCAGCTTTTGTTTGGTACACTAACCTTATACCTGGTTTTATTCAAACTTGGTAACAAATAGAGGAAGTCTTTCATACCTAGTTTTTCCAAACAGAACTTGAGGTTTCCATGGTAGACTTGGAAAGATTGAGCCAAAGGCCTGATGAGAAGGCTGTTCAATTCATTGCCGAATTCAAAAAGTACGTAACAAATGTAGGGTTGTTTTACCTGAACCTGAATTTGTTTGATTGGTCCAAAATGGGCTAGAATTCAGACATCGAAAGAAGTTTGATTCAGTAGAGTTTCGAGATCTAGTGGAACTTATTTATAAAGTTTCAAGATATGAAACCTTACTTGAAGAAGAACAAGATCGAAGTAATGCATCTTATAGGACCTATTATAGGGACTCTAACTTTGAAATTGATACAGCAGAGATCATAGGAAAAGAGCCTATGACCTGTGAGGCATTAATTCAGAAAGATACTATAATTGACCAACAATTTAGAAGGAAAGACATTCATAGGAAATATTCTTTTGACATAATAAGAACAGATGACATATTTGATCATTTGCTAGCAGCACATTTCTTAAAGTTGCCTAAGGGAGTTAAGATCCCAACTTCTGAAGAACTTAAAGGAAAACTGTACTGCAAATGGCATAACTCTTGGCCCCACTCAACTAAAAACTGCATTGTTTTTTAAGATAGGATCCAAGAACAAATTCGGAAAGCGAGGCTGAAATTTTCAACCAAGACTGAAAAGGCCATAGGAATTGATACCAATCCATTTCTAGATATTAGAGAGGTAACAACTAATATTAGCATACCGGATTTCTAGAATCTCTCTTTGAAGGAATTTGAAGAAGTCAATGTGCAAATGCATGTTGCTAGCCAAGTTACCTTCAGGAAGAACACAAAAGGTTCACCATCCAGTGGACAAAGCTTTGTAGGCCAAAGGGATGGCTCTAGTGAAGAAGCATTAGATGATGACTCTCTCGAAGTAGCTGTACTGCAGAGAATGTATCCCAGATGTAGGTTGAGTTATAAATGGCTGAGGGGGCTCCCGACTGAAGGGAATCAGTACTATAACGATGTGTAGAGAGACCGTAGGCTAGCCAACAATTATGGTAAGAGGCCAATTCCAGTTGGTTCTAGGCAGCAACCACCCTTGGTTGGACCTCTAGACACCAGGAATTTGTCAAGGGGTAAAAGATCTCTATATGAGATCAGGCCACATGATTACTATAGGATAGTTAGTTAGCCAGCATAAAAGAAAGCTTGAATTTGGCTCAAGACAAGGCACAGTTTTCCTAAAACGATTTGCCGGATTTGGACTCTTTGGTTCAGATTTAGAACCGTGACTGCGAAAGTCAAGTCCGAGCTGTAGCGAGGTCCCCCGCGGGCTTGTTACACCAGTGCCAATGATTGGCCATCAAAGACAACATAGAAGACAGTGTCAAAGACAAGAGTAGCAAGCCCACCAACCAGAGCAGTAGGAACATGGGTACCAGGGGTACCTGATTGGTTTGTCAAGCAAAACAAACAAACCATAAGTGATGCCTACCCAGGAAAGGTTTTTGGAGGAAAAGAAAAGATGATAAAACCCTCTTTGGTAGCCCCAAATAACTGGGTACTATTGAAAAACCCAAAGACAAGGGAACCAGATATGGTTATTGTAATCTCCAAGTCCCAAAGAAGGAAGATCCAGCGAAGGTACACGTAGTACCAAAGAAATTTGAAGGAGAATGAAGAAAGTACTTCCTTGGCTCAGTCAAAAGGCCAGACAGGAGAAAGAGAAGGTTCAAGGCTTGATCCTAAGATCAAAATGAGTGCCAGCAGAGAACAAGTGGCCAAAGTTCATTCTGAACTAAGAGCCAAAGAAAAATCCAGTCTAGCAGGCCTCGAAAAGGCCTTGATGGAGAGTGATGACAAGATAGATGAAGGAATTGAACAAGGCCAAGAAAAGGTATTGGCTGAAGAGGAAATGTTCAAAGCCTTTATGGTTGAACAGTCCTTCATGGTTGAAAAGCCAATAGAGCTAGACCACCAACAAGTTGTTTCGAAGGAACTTGCTAGTACTGAGGTACTAGAATGCAGTATGAAAGATGCTTTCCAAGCATTAGAGCAAACCAATATGGAAGCAGAGCAAGCATAGCCAGTAATACAATTTGGCTCATTCCCTCCAATGCTGGTTAATATGGTTTATGTGCTGCCTCAGGAGTTTCAAGTTGAGGAGTAGAACCAAGAAGGCCAGGAGGGTGATCCCATTCCAGTTTCCAGTAGGGATTCACAAACCAGCATGGTCCAAGATGAATCTGAGGTGGCCAGGCCCATGGAAACAAATGAAGAGAGTAAAGAGGTAAGCATTAAACTCGCATATCCCTTCGAATACCCTATAGTATCCATGACCCAACATGTTAAGCCCCTATACATTAAGGCTTATTTTGATGGAATATAAATGGGTAGAGTACTGGTAGACAATGGGGCAGTAGTGAACCTGCTTCCACGGTCTTTCTTGAAGAAGTTGGGGAAAAGAAATTCCAGGTTGATCCTAACAAGCATTACCATTGCTGGTTTTGCTAGAGATAAGCGGATGGCTTAAGGCATTATGCCTATCAACCTGAGTGTGGGAACTAGAGATTGTATGACAGTATTTTTTTTTATCATGGATAGCAATGCCAAATATAATGCTTTTCTTGGCAATGATTGGATCCATACAAAAAAATGTGTGTCTTCTTCTTTGCATCAGAAGATAATGATAGTAATAGGCAATGGGAAAATAGAGGAGATCGATGCAGATCCACAACCCTTTATTGCCTGTGTAGATTTTGCATAAGCCAAGCTGTACACTGAAGGGGTGGTAGCACTTAGTGTACTAAAGAAGTTTGATGTAATAGCTATAGTGACGGCTGATGAGGAAGTAGCACACTTGGAGCATTTAGTACATGAGAGTGCTGATGGGGATTTTATCATCAAAGATACCAATGATGCCTAGTTGTAAGCAAAAAGATCACGGTCAAGAAGATAAACCTTTGGCTTTAATCAAATTTTCAACATTGGACATAAAGGCAATAGTCCATAGTTGATATCCAGATAGACGAAATGGTGTGAACTGAGAAAAAAAAGTGTGTAAATAGAAGCTCCTAGGCTATGGGGGTCACCCATATGTTTTGTTATGGGTAAAATTATGTCATTGGGTTTTCTATGGAGTTTTTAGTTCTAAATTGTCTAGTTGGTCAAAGTTTTTTAACTTCTAATTATAGAATCATAATCTTTGTAGGAGCACAAAAAATGTAGTACCTTATAAACATGCATGAATCTTCTTTCTAATAGAGATTTGAGTTGTGAATTGTTCAGCCCCAAAGCTCGGGCCAATCAAACTATAATCATTTTAGTTCTAAATTGTCTAGTTGGTCAAAGTTTTTTAACTTCTAATTATAGAATCATAATCCTTGTAGGAGCACAAAAAATGTAGTACCTTATAAACATGCATGAATCTTCTTTCTAATAGAGATTTGAGTTGTGAATTTTTCAGCCCCAAAGCTCTGGCCAATCAAACTATAATCATCCCCAACCTTTTTTTCCTATCAGTTGGCAAATAAATTCATACTTAAATCAACCAAAATAGTCTGTGTCTAGAAAAATCAACTCATAAATCTTTCCACACCTTATTTTTGTAAATCCTGCAACCTGATACTTCAGAAATTGACTTAATTCCACCTTCTTACTTATTACAAAAACAAATCTTTCTTCCAGCTCTTAGAACCCTAACCTTTCCAAAGCCAAGTATTGTAGGCAGCAATACTTTTCTGCATCAATTAAATGACAAATGTCTTCAAATTTCCCAACCTAATCATCCTAAGCCAGGGGCAACTCTACATCTAAGGGTGGGTGTTCAATTGAACACCTTGGAATTATATATATATATATATATGTATGTAATTCTGCCCAAAGTTTTATGTTGAACACCCTAACCCAATTTCCTGAATACCCAACCTACTTGAACACCCATCCGAGCCCACTTGTACACCGCACTCAACCCAGACCATAACCTTTTAATCAATATATATACATATGTATATATATATATATATATACTTTGTGAAGTGAACACACAATATGTTTTGAAAGCTTTGCTTCCTTAGCTTGTGCAAAGTGTTTTTATGACAAAATTTTGTATTTTGCCATTCTCAGCCAGTGTACCACTTGAATGTTAATGTTAATCAACATTTTTGCAATTCTCAGCCAGTGTACCACTTGAATGTTTAATGTTAATTAACATTTTTTTAGCTTATCTCAATTTGAATTAAATGAGCTTTCTTCATATATTTTTTTATCATTCTAGTGTTAAAAAAATATATATATTTATATAAATTTTTGTATCTACATTTTATGTTTTGAAACAATGATATCAATATATTAAAATTTTATTTTATTTATTTATTTGTATGTGATTTGTAAAGTCTATAAAAATTAAAATTTTTGAATATCTACCTGAAAAAAATTCCTGGAGTACCCACTGTGAACATCCTGAATAAGCTCACTTTCTTTGGGATTTTTTATTTTTATTTTTTTGTTAGAACTGCACTTTTCATTTTAAAAATCTTTTCAAATTAGTCAAAATAAGTTCTAAGTTCTGTCTATTGTTTTGCTTTTAGAACTTTTGATCTTGATCATGCGTGTGTACATGTGTGCACACTTGCATGTCTGTGCATCTATTGTTTTGGATATCTTGTATGTAATTTTGGTAAATTAACTAATTATTTGTTTTCAATTTCAGTACTCCAAAATACAGAGGTACACTTTGGGAGAAGCTCTCAGCCGTAAAAGCCAATTGTGGGATTGAGCTTGCTTTGGAGTGTTGAAATGGAGTGCTGAGAGAGCTGCTGCTTCCTCTCATGGCCTATCAAGCTCTGTCAGATTCAATGCTTCTAATAGGATTCCTTCATGGAATTGCATTGCTTGGGAGAACTCAACAGGGTCCCTTGAGGAATACGTCATTCCGGATGTTGCCACCTCGCTGCATCAAGGAATTGCAGGGTCCACAGGAGGTCACATTGTCTGGAACTTTGCAGAGCCACCTTCACACACATGATGGTAGTGATATTAAATCTGAGAGTGTTGATCTCAATTCTTGGACAAGATCTGGTGGTCATTTGATGAGGACAACTTCAGCAGATAAGATCATTGAATTTGCTCAAAATTTGGACGTTGATTGCAAATTGAGCAAAGGAATGATGGGTCACCACAATAATTTTGTGATTCAGATAGTAGGCAAGGTTCCATACTATCAAGTTTTGAAGGTAGCAACACCTGATAGAAGTTCAGACATGGAGTTTAACCAGAGGGATGTCAACAACAGAGTTCCTGTGAACAATTCTAGCATTATGGTTGTCGCTGCCTGAAAGTATACGTAATGGGATCGTTTTCGATGTTGTGAAAAGGATTACTTGACCCCAACAAATAGGAGTCCTGATTCAGAAAACAATGGCCCCTCCCAGATTTCAGTTGATGAGTGTATGCAACTTGACTGTGCAGAAAAGGAAATAGATGCAAGCTCGGTGTCTGAATGCGTCGACAATTTTGGTTACATAGAAAATTGTCTCAGTGAAGCAGATTCTGGTTGTGATCCCAAATAATCATTCTGGTTTGGGTGGTTAGATTTGAGGTTGGTTTTGTTGTTCAAATTTTGAAATTAAATAAATAGATTTATGAAGAAATCAAATTATATATATACTAAGAACACATGCTAATAATTACAACTAAATTTCAACAGAAATACTCAAAACAATAAAAGGGTAAAGAGACGAAACCGAAGCCTGCACGGAAGCAGTTTCCTTAAAATAGATTTCGCTGCCTCACTGGTCGAGTGCTTGTGGAATCCCAGCGTCTGTCTCTCAGGATACGACGGTCAAAACCAGCTACGGTAGAAGCACTCTCTATCTAGCTTAGCGAACAAAATAGTGGCAGCACTCTCTCACTGTAAGAACTTTCAGGCAAACTGACTTGTGAAATGGAAGTAAAAATTTCTGTGTTTCAGACTTGACAGGAGGGTCTTAATTTATACATGTATAGGGGAGAGAGGAAGAGCCTCCAGCCTTTATGGCTGATCATAATGCACCATTAACTTCTGCAATAAAGGCAGGAGTTACAAACCCCATTAATGCAGGAGTTACAAACCCCATTAATGCTCTATTAAATTCTGTAATAAATGCAGGAGTTACAAACTTCATTACCTTTTTTCCATGAAGCTAACTTCATGAAGTAATTTTTCATTCAAATCTCAATGGTTTTTGGCCATTCTATCTGTGGTGTAAAGATCTCAATGCAAAGTATCTAGACCCACTTGGAACCAACACAATAGATGGTTGGGACCCACTTTAATATTTAATTAAAGTCACCAAAAAACCATTTTTTTCCAACAATCCCCCACATGAAAAAAAATTGACCGAATGACTCAACAAACGAACACCGTTCAATAATAATGACTCTGAGAGAGAATACAACGGACTAACCCCGACATCAGAGAATGTAGCTTTTGGCTTTGAACCTCTCCCAGTGAAAACCTATCGAGTTTACTGGCTGATCAGTGAATATGACATCTTGAACTGCTCTGCCGTTTATGTAAACTGAGACAATAGATCTCACACGGGAATTACTCCTACCACCATTCTGTTCTCACTGGTGTGCCCTGTGTGGCCCTGGACACTAGCCTGGTTCAGCGAGTGGTTTCAAAGAATCTTGGCCTCCCAATTCTTCTAGAAGCGGCCCTACTTCACACTCACATAGGTGACTCTACTAGAGTATCCTGCAATACTTAGCTCAACAGCTTAATACATAAGAGTCATTAAAAGCTCAGCTTAACCTCTACACTTGCAGGTATCACTGATAGAAGGAATGGTTGGAGGTTTAACCTCCTCAGTGACATACCACCGTTACACGCAATTAGGTTGTCCCATTGAACCTAGATCTTGGGATCTCCAGTCAACTAGGTTGGGTTTCCATTCCGGTAACTTCCAAAGGCCTCAACCCCATTCCTTTTGACGACGTTTTGACTAACACTCGATTTAACCCTTTGGTTAGCGGATCCGCAATGTTGTCCTTAGACTTTACATAGTCTACAGAGACAACTCCATTCGAGAGTAGTTGTCGTATGGAATTATGTCTATGACGGATATGTCTAGACTTTCCATTATACATATTACCCTGTGCTCTACCAATTGCAGATTGACTATCACAATGAATACAAATAGCAGGCACAGGTTTGGACCAACTTGGAATATCTTCAAGGAAATGGCAAAGCCATTCAGCTTCTTCCATTGCTTTATCCAAAGCAATAAACTCTGATTCCATCGTTGATCTAGATATACACGTTTGTTTGGAAGATTTCCAAGACACCGCTGCTCCACCAAGAGTGAACACATATCCACTAATGGACTTTGAGTCCTGTATATCTGATATCCAATTTGCGTCACTATAGCCTTCAAGCATCGTTGGATATCGAGTATAATGCAGCCCATAATCCCGAGTGTAGCGTAAATACCTTAACACGCGCACAATACCCTTCCAATGAGAAGCATCGGAATTACTTGTGTATCTACTAAGCCTGCTAACCGAGTAAGCTATATCCAGCCTAGTACAACTCATCAGATACATTAAACTTCCAATTACCCGAGAATATTCTAACTGTGAGACACTTTCATTATTATTCTTGGTAAAATGTAGACTTAAGTCTACAGGTGTCGATGACACACTCGTATCTGATCCACTAAACTTCTCAAGTATCTTATCAACATAATGAGACTGAGATAGTACAATTCCGTCAGAGATTCTGGTAATCTTAATTCCCAGAATAACATCTGCAATGCCCATATCCTTCATGTCAAACTTAGAATTTAACAACTTCTTGGTAGTTTTGATCATTTCATCGTTACTACCTATAATGAGCATATCATCAACACATAGACACAAAATGACATAACCTCTGTCAGTGTCTTTGACATAAACACACTTGTCACATTCGTTGATTCTAAACCCATTTGACAATATTGCGTTGTCAAACTTCTCATGCCATTGTTTAGGCGCTAGCTTCAAACCATACAAAGATTTGACAAGTTTACAAACTTTCCTGCTTTGCCCTGGAGCTGAAAATCCTTCAGGTTGCTCCATGTAGATTTCTTCATTCAAATCTCCATTTAAGAAAGATATCTTTACATCCATCTGGTGAATTTCTAGATTGCGCAAAGCAGCAATCGTAAATCACCATCCGAATGGATGTTATCCTAGTAACAGGTGAGTACGTATCAAAGTAATCCAGGCCTTCTCGTTGCCTGTACCCTTTGATAACGAGCCTCTTTTTATACTTGTCAATTGACCCATCGGCCTTCATCTTTCTTTTAAAAATCCATTTGCAGCCTAAAGCCTTGCAACCTGGAGGTAAATCTACCAACTCCCAGGTGTGGTTTTGTAAGATGGAGTCAATCTTACTTTTGATCGCTTCTTTCTATAATGGACTCTCAGGAGAAGTCACAGCTTCGTGGAAAGTTTGAGGTTCGTTCTCAACCATATACGTTAAGAAGTCTGGACCAAAAGATTTGGATATCCTAGCCCTTTTACTCCTTTTAGGCTCATCTAAAACCTCAATTTGATCATCACCTGAATCATCAATATGATCATCCTCACTAGCAAGCTCATCAAATTTCTCCAAAGACCTTGGAACCCTTTCATGGGTTCGGCAAGGAAAAATGTCTTCAAAGAAACATGCATTCCTTGACTCCATAATGGTATTCCTGTGTATGTCTGGAATTTCAGACTTATGTACAAGAAATAGATATGCACTACTATTATGTTCATAACCAATGAATATACAATCCACGGATTTCAGGCCTATCCTAACCCGTTTGGTGTAGGAATTGCCACTTTTGCAAGACACCCCCACATTCGTAAGAATTTATACGAAGGCTTAACGCCTTTCCATAACTCATATGGCGTCTTGTCCACCTTCTTCCGGGGTACTTTATTCAGAATGTAATTTGCAGAGAGAATTGCTTCCCCCCACACGTTCTGTGGCAATCCAGAACTTATCAACATTGCATTCATCATTTCCTTTAGCGTCCTATTCTTCCGTTCAGCAACCCCATTTGATTGAGGAGACTAAGGCGCCGTGGTTTGGTGGATAATCCCGGATTGAGCACAAATCTCAATAAACGGAGATTCATACTCACCACCACGATCACTTCTTAGAGCCTTAATCTTGCGGCCTACTTGATTCTCAACTTCATTCTTAAAAAGAACAAACTTGTCAATCGCCTCATCTTTGCTTTTGAGCAAATAGACATAACAATACTTAGTGCAATCATCAACAAAAGTGATGAAGTACTTATTGCCACCACGTGATTGTATAAACTTTAAGTCACACAAAATTACCTTATTCTATTATGCTTTTGCTTCCAAGTTAATGAAATCATCGAGAAATTTTGGCAACATCCCCAAAAAACCAACATTTAACACTTAAAATTAAAGAGGAAAATATAGAAGTGTAACATATGTACTAAAACAAAAATTCACGAGGAAATATGATAATACAACACTTTATCCTACTTAAAAAATAGAATAATTTACCTTCCAAGTTAGAGAACCAAGATGCTTTGCAAGAATAATCTAAAAATAAAAACAAATGATAATAATAAGTTACAATAAAATAAAATAAAATAATTAAAATCTGAACAAAACTCACATGAAAACCGTCATATCGAAATCTTGATGATCACTGCATAATCAAATAGATAACGCCATTGCAAAATTGAAATAAAACCTGCAAAAATAAATTAATGTTGTCTTTTTGGAAGAAAGTGATCAATAAATTAGAAAGTATCATCAAGTACAACATTGATAGCGGTAGGCATGCCTACATTCTTGTTACAAAAATTTAAAAAAAAATAAGAAAAAAAAAACTAAATTAAGCTCTCAAAATGCTCACAAAAAGGACAGACCAAAAAAGGAGAAAAAATAGGAAGAATTGAAAAAAGTAACTTGAAATCTCACACAATCTAAGTGGCACATGGGGAAAAGAAAAAGAAGAAAAAATAGTGGTCTTACCTTGTTGCCCAAAAAAAAAAATCTGTTTTTTATGAGGGAATGAAAATATATGATAGAGAAAAGAAACCTAAAAGCAATAAGAAAAAAGACCGCAGGAAGAGTGATGGGAAGTGTTTGGCTAATTAAAGGGAAAAAATGTAAATTATGAGGTAAAGGTAAGGAAAGAGAATGGAAGAATCCTAGGAAAAGAGTAACGACTTTTCCTTAATTGTTTTTAGAGAAAAGTTATGTAAATGAATGGTGCATCAACTCGAAATCATGCAGACAAGTTCTCACACAATTAGAGTTATGTGAGAGGAAAAAAATAAAAAATAAAGAAGGGAAGAAGAGTAGTCTTAACTTGTTGCAAATAATAATAATGATAAATAAATAAATAACTTCTTCTTATGGATTGGACATTTCTTAGAGAAAACCCAACGAAAGAACTAAGCAATAAGTGAGAGGGAGCCATGGGAAGTGTGAATGACAAGAAAGTGTAAATTATGAGGTGAATGAAAGGACAATGTTGGAGGTGACATTTCATACTCTTGTTTGGGGAGAAGATAATTTTATGTTGTTTGGACAACCATTTTGCATGCACGGGTTTCCTTGCGCTTGTGCTTCAAGTAGTTCTTGAAATCCTTCCAACCATTGGGAAGTTTCTCAATGATCACAGCAACTTGGAATGACTCGTTCAAAGGCATTCCTTCAGCATGAATTTCATGCAAGATCACTTGAAACTCCTGGACTTGGCTTATCACAGTTTGAGAGTCTACCATTTTAAAATCAAGGAACCGACCAACCACAAATTTCTTTGCCCCGGCATCCTCAGTCTTATATTTTTTGTCCAGAGATTCCCATAACTCTTTTGCTGAGCTCTTGGAACAAAACACACTATAAAGTGAGTCTGCCAAGCTGTTGAACACATAGTTCCGGCAAAGATAGTCTGTCTGCTTCCATGTGTCAAGCGCCATGACTTTCTGCCTATCAGGCTCATTCTCTGCCACGACTGGAGGATCCTCGCTCAGAACCTTTGCAAGGTTTAGCGTGGTCAAGTAGAACAGCATCTTTTGCTGCCATCTCTTGAAGTTCACCCCAGCAAATTTCTCTAGGCGCTCATGATGACTGAGCGGTCCTCCCGGAACAGTCGGAGTAACGCCATGGTTGACCACAGAGGTCATAACAGTAGGGGTTGGTAACCCAGTTGCCCCAGGGTTCAGATCCCCACCAACATTAGCAGTAGCAGTAGCATCAGTGATAGTTGCCATTTCGAACAAATAAAACCTCATTTTTAGCCAAGGCTAAACACTTTGGTTTCTACTCCAGAAAACCAAACCAAAATCCAAACTTACAAGCAATTTAAACTTGCAAACAATTTAAAATTGCTACAACCAAATACATGCATATAAAATGCGTCTAATAAGCAAATAAACTTGCTACTACAAATTGGTAAACAAACCAACTAAATCTCAAGTAAAAAAAAATTTCTTCAAACATAAAGAAAAATAACCAATCCAATTGAGGATTATAAGTAGTCCATACAATTCCTTTCTACGCTTAGGTATGCCTACAAAGAGAGTTAATAGAAAACGACAACATAATATAAAGCAATTGTACATACAATCAAATATTATTTAACCTTCTAGCAAATCATAGAATAGCAAAATAACTAAGGAATTAAGATACTATACAAGTTACAAAACCTTATAACTTCTACATTAAATTAAAAAATTAATTGCCATAAATTATATAAGAATTTAATTCACAATAACCATGTAAATAAATATAGGCAAGTTACACAAATTTAATAACTCCAAAGAACTACATTTAATTCAAACTTTAATTCATCCAATTAAATCACACACTATTCATGGAAATCGTAGAAAGGGAATGATGAACCATACTCATAAAATAAGATCAGAGTAATACAATTAAGTATACAAATTATGATAGAGCATTCTAATTAAACTAAACAATTAGAGAATCACATTGCATAATTTACAATCACTGAAATAGGGAGCAATTTTGCAACAGTTCCTAGTAACATTATACAAATGTCTATATAAATCTATTCGATCAATTTCATAGGAAAAACATATATGAGAAATCTGTTTTAAGCTTGCTGTTTAAATTTTGAAATTAAATAAATAGATTTATGAAGAAATCAAATTATATATATACTAAGAACACATGCTAATAATTACAACTAAATTTCAACAGAAATACTCAAAATAATAAAAGCGTAAAGAGACGAAATCAAAGTCTGCACGGAAGCAGTTTCCTTAAAACAGATTTCGCCGCCTCACTGGTTGAGTGCTTGAGGAATCCCGGCGTCTGTCTCCCAGGATACGACGGTCAAAACCAGTTACGGCAGAAGCACTCTCTATCTAGCTTAGCAAACAAAACAGTGGCAGCACTCTCTTACTGTAGGAACTTTCAGGCAAACTGACTTGTGAAATGGAAGTAAAAATTTATGTGTTTGAGACTTGACAGGAGGGTCTCAATTTATACATGTATAGGGGAGAGAGGAAGAGCCTCCAGCCTTTATGGCTGTTCATAATGCACCATTAACCTCTGCAATAAAGGCAGGAGTTACAAACCCCATTAATGCAGGAGTTACAAATCCCATTAATGCTCTATTAAACTCTGTAATAAATGCAGGAGTTACAAACTTCATTACTTTTTTTCCATGAAGCTAACTTCATGAGGTAATTTTTCATTCAAATCTCAATGATTTTTGGCCATTCTATGGTGTAAAGATCTCAATGCAAAGTACCTAGACCCACTTGGACCCAACACAATAGATAGTTATGACCCACTTTAATATTTAATTAAAGTCACTAAAAAACTATTTTTTTCCAACAGGTTTGTGCTTGGTCATTTTGCATGGTGCAACTGGAAGGATTGGATTCAATGCCGAAGACGAAACTGAAGTGTGTTACTAGTCGCAGAAGATTGGGGAATTCTGACTTCACAACAGAAATTGAATTGACAGAAATCAGGACGACAAAAGACATGACATGGAAGTGTCGCCATATGAGTGAGTAATATCATCATCAAAGCAACTGTATGTCAGCTTATGCCAGCTTTATCGAATAATTCTTGAAACACTACCAAATCCAAAAGCATTGACGGAGTAGTATCACCATATATTATCCTCGATAAAGGTTCAGTACTTGTTCAGTTCCCCTTGTTTTCTGGTGCTTTAAGCAAATGAAAATTCACCATTGGCCATCAAGTTTGTGTTGTGGCACGGAGTGGGATATGATAATAAGGAAAGGGGGAGATGTGAAAAAAAAAAAAAAAAAAAAAAAAAAAGTGTGAAAAGTAAATGTAATGTAGTTATATTTTATTTATTTATTTATTTATTTTTCCTTTTCATATTTCTCATTAAATCCGTGAACCATAACTGTAAATTAAATGTTGTTTTTGAGGACACAAATAAAATGGCCAAAGACTAAATTAAAGGCAAACTATTATGGATTCAAAATTGCAAAACACCTAATTCAATTTGGACAGAAAGGGAGGTGTGATGGGTAGGACAATCCACCAAGGATTATTTTTTTCCTAAAGTTTTCTAAAGTGGTGTATTGTATGGTTGAGATTTAATACTGAAAAATTGATGTGACTTGTCATTAAATCTCAACCACACAATGCACCACTCTAGGAAACTTTAGGAAAAAAAAAAACTCTAGAGGATCCTTACTCAAAACATAGTTATCGTTAACCAGACTTGTAAAGCATTGATTGCGTCGATCATTTTCATTTAAAATTTTTATTAAATATTTTATATGAGTGTAAAATTTTATATAAAATATATAATATAATTATTAACAGAATTTTTAATAGGATTTTTGAGATTTCTATTATTTTTGTTTCGGTTATCGCAAACAAGTGCATGGATTAGACTTTATCGCAAGAAAAGTGCATGGATTAGACTTTGGGTCAACAATGTGAGATAATTAATTCCTGACAGTCAATTTTAAACGACAAAAGTGGTGACGTGATGACTTGGTTTACTCTGCTCACCATTTTATCATCTTTGTTCCTCCCTGTGAAATGCCAAAAAAGAAAAAAAATTAGAAACAGAGAACACCATGAAGAAATCAATGGAAGGTTTCACCATACTTCTTTTTTTCCTCTAGTCTTTATTTTCCATCGTAACAACCTCCAAAGCACTTGAGACCATAACCAAAACTCACTTCATCACATATAACAACACCATAGTTTCGAAATGGGGTTTTTCACTCCAGGCAATTCCAAGAACTGGAACATCGCAATATGGTACAAGAAGATAGCCTCAGGGACCATTGTATGGGTTGCCAACAGAGATAACCCACTTCCCAATTCCTCTGGTGTCTTGAAACTCATCGACCCAGGAATCCTCGTCCTTCTCAATTCCACCAACAACACCGTATGGTCCACCAACACCTCTCGATCCACAAGCAACCGGAAATACAGGAGAAAAAGGCTCTAAGCTCGGTGTCTGAATGCGGCGATAATTTTGGTTACATAGAAAATTGTCTCAGTGAAGCAGATTCTGGTTGTGATCCCAAATAATCATTCTGGTTTGGGTGGTTAGATTTGAGGTTGGTTTGTGCTTGGTCATTTTGCATGGTGCAACTGGAAGGATTGGATTCAATGTCGAAGACGAAACTGAAGTGTGTTACTAGTAGCAGAAGATTGGGGAATTCTGACTTCACAACAGAAATTGAATTGACAGCAATCAGGACAACAAAAAACATGACATGGAAGTGTCGCCATATGAGTGAGTAATATCACCATCAAAGCAACTGTATGTCAGCTTATGCCAGCTTTATCAAATAATTTTTGAAACACTACCAAATCCAAAAGCATTGACGGAGTAGTATCACCATATATTATCCTCGATAAAGGCTCAGTACTTGTTCAGTTCCCCTTGTTTTCTGGTGCTTTAACCAAATGAAAATTCACCATCGGCCATCAAGAATAAAGTTTGTGTTGTGGCATGGAGTGGGATATGATAATAAGGAAAGGGGGAGATGTGATAAGAAAAAGTGAATTTGAGTAGGGATTTGGAAAGGAAAAAAAAAAAAAAAGTGTGAAAGGTATATGAAATGTAGTTATATTTTATTTATTTTTTTTTTTTTTTCCTTTTCATATTTCTCATTAAATCCGTGAACCATAACTGTAAATTAAATGTTGTTTTTGAGGACACAAATAAAATGGCCAACGACTAAATTAAAGGCAAGCTATTATGGATTCAGAATTGCAAAACACCTAATTCAATTTGGACAGAAAGGGGGGTGTGATGGGTAGGACAATCACCCATTATCCCTAATAATATACAAAACAAAAACAGGACACCCCAATATTACAAAAGTTGGAAGGCACATTGTATGGGAGAGAATAACTACGGGTTGTGACGTAAGATTTGCTTGGGATGTTGATTGGTTTTTTTACTTTATTAGTTTGGAGTTAAAAGTCTCGTTTAGGATAGGTTTTTTAACTTTTTTGATTTTTGTGAGCGTAAAAATGAAATGATTATAATTTAAATGTGAAATTTTGTCTTATTAATTTTTTAATTTATTTTATCTTTTTATGATTAAAAAAATTAAAAAATTTAGCATGTTAAACGAAGGCATAATCATTTGCTTACTGGACCTTCAATCTCAAAGCCCACATTGTTGGAACTTGGACACAAGAAAGTCTTGAGAAGATTGCACCAAATACCAAAAAGGAGTCGATACTACCAGGGTTCTAAACGAGCTGAGTTGAGTTGAGTTTGAACTTAGCTCGTTTTCTTATTGAGCTTGTTTATTGAGTTCAAATTTATCTCGATAAGTAACTGGGTTTGAGCTCAATTCGGTTTATTAATATTAATGAAATTTGAGTTTGCCTCGATTCGATAATTTTTTTTTAAAATATTTAAATAAAAAATATTTATTTGAGTTGGCTCATTTACTAAACTAACCGAGTTGAGCCGAGCCTGTTCGTGAACAATTTGGTTCGTTTGCAACCTTAGATACTATTATATATATATACTCTCGCAGTTTTGATTGAATCCTCCAAACGTACCCCAAGGTCGGGCTCATTCACGATCCGACCCTACAAGCCAATCCGAGGGAGATGTCGAGAAATCCACATCTCATCCCCAATTTCAATCAATGACTATAAAAAGGTTCCGAAACTTTTGACTACGTAAGGGGTTGTCTCACCAATGCATTGAACCCTTGGAATTAAATACTACTAAAAATCAAGGAATGACACCCATCATTTATCTTTCCAATATAGTTTGGATCTTAAAAAATAAAAAAATAATAATAATAAAGTACGCTTAATTTGGTTTGGATTTGAAAAGAATGATTAGATTAGGTACATAATTTTGGAATAAATTTTTTGTTTTTTCTTGCTATTGAATATTTCATATATTGGAATTTGGAACCTTAACGTAATTTAGCTTTTACTTTTCTCATCTCTTCTAATTTATTTAAAAAAAAAATACACTCAATTTAGTTTGGATTTAGGAAAAAAAAAAAGAAAAAGAAAAAAAAGTAAATTAAACCTTCATTTGGCATGTGAGTTGATTTTTTGATTTTTTGACTATTTTAGCAACAATGCTGGGGACCCCCAGTGGAGGGTGACCCCAGCACCCCCACCTCCACGTGGGGGCTGTGAGAGCAAGACAGAAAAAAAATATATATATATTTTGAGCCAATCAAAAAACAGTGAGGGTGTTGGGAGTTCAAGTCATTTTTGCTATTTTAAGGCCAAGTTTGGGAACATCCCAAAAAGCCAAAAAGTCAAAAAGTTACTCAAAAAGTTAAAAAGTTATCACTATTCACCAAAAGTCAACAATTACGGCTGCACAACTCCCAATTCTAATTTTCTCCTACAAATCAATTTTTACAATTTTTTATTACACATTTTTCCATAAAAAGTCAAAAAGTTAACCCAAACATTCATATTTTCAACCTCAACTTTTTAGTCTAAAAAGACAAAAAGTGTACTTATTTAGTCTTCCCAAACTTTCGTTTGGAATAGACTTTTGACTTTTGTGAAAGAAAAAATAAAATAATTATGATTTAAATGTGATATTTTATCTTATTAAATTAAAAAACTTATTTTATTTTTTTGGTTAAAATAACCCCAATTCAACCCAAACTTTCATGTCAATGATAGCCTAAAATGAATTCAAGTTTTGACATATATAATTAGGGATGTGAAAATCTGATAACTTAGGTGTGAATTAAGAAAGAAGCAACTTAATAATATCTTTGGTCACATCATATGAGCTTTGAAAGCAAAAATAAGACTATAAATTTCTGAAAAATTTTATAATACACTCTTATGTCATATGCACATTTGTCATTTTTTTTAATTATGATAATTTTTTTTAGTTATGATATTATTTTGAGATTTTGGTTATAATTTTTTTATGTTTAATTCTGACTTTTTTTTTCATTTTAAAAAAAATTATGACCCAAAAATATAAAATTATGTTTATTTATTTATTTATTTATTTTTAAAATTACATGATACACCTATGTATCATAATTTCTAAAACGTGGGATAGAAAGCTGAAAGAAAAGAAACCAACACCACTACAACTAATGTGTGGCCTCCATGGTTTCTACAATCTAATTAATTATGTCTCACTCACTTGAAAAAACTTTCATAGAGTTCATATTTTCTCGAACCTTCCACAGCTCTGCAGGAAGACCAACTCATCACAACTACTGCTTTCTATGACTTTTTCTCTCATTAGTTATTAAGTAATTGGTTATTTTAATTAATTTTTTAAATTTTTACCAAAATATATATAAAAAAAATAGAGATAATAATGTGGCAATTTATAATGATTTTTAAATTAAAATTTCAAATCTCCAAATGGATTTCAAAATCGGTAAAAATTTACTGGTATTGCTCCTTTTTATATCATTTTCTTTTATATGTTTTTATATTTTATTTTGTGGCTTTACTTTGCGTCCACAATAATAATTCAAACTTGTAAAAAATTAATTTTATTAAATATCGATAAATAAATAAGATTTTATTTTATAAAATTGATTGTTTAAGTTTAAAATTATAATTATCTTTCATTTTTAAAAATAAAATATAAGTTATTTATATATTTAGTAATATTTGACGAAACCAAATTTGTACACAATTCATTTTTACTAATGTACTAATAAAATAAATAATTTAAATCATTATTATAGACCAGAAATAAGACCCATGCAAATAG